CCAATATGGCCGACAAAATATCGAAAAAAGCATCAAAACTGACTGAACATGCATACATCAAGGTTTTTGGGGTCGCTGAACACGAATCTGAGGTTAGAATTTCAAAATTCAAGATGGCGGATCCCAGATGGCCGACAAAATATCGAAAAAAGCATCAAAACTGACTGAACATGCATACATCAAGGTTTTTGGGGTCGCTGAACACGAATCTGAGGTTAGAATTTCAAAATTCAAGATGGCGGATCCCAGATGGCCGACAAAATATCGAAAAAAGCATCAAAACTGACTGAACATGCATACATCAAGGTTTTTGGGGTCGCTGAACACGAATCTGAGGTTAGAATTTCAAAATTCAAGATGGCGGATCCCAGATGGCCGACAAAATATCGAAAAAAGCATCAAAACTGACTGAAAATACATACTTCTACGTCCCTGAGGACATTCTTGTCATATTCGCTGAATAAAATTTTATTCATGAAATCATAACAATATCTTTTTCATTATTTATCCCATTAAGATCATTGATTTTTTCCTATGTAGCTTGATGTTCATCTAAATTTTGAATAACTATTTATTTTGAATTATATTTTCATTATCAAGTTTCAAACATATAAAGTTCCCTCTTTCAAAATTATCAATAGTTTATTTGGGTAATAATCCAAATCGTTGTCAGTTTGTACTTTTTTAGTTTTTGTTGAGGAGCACAATTCCTCAGGTATCGTCAAATAATCTCAGATTCTTGACGCAGGTGGTGTCCTAAAGTTACCAAAAAGGGATTTACACCGTTTGAGTTATAATTCGCTATACTTTTGTATAAACTTGAATTATATCACAAATAAACTATTGAATGTAATTTCACCTTCAACATGTCTCGAAAACGTTCAAGAACGGTAGATCAATTAGAAGATGAAAGTTCTGATGAGGAGGAATTGGTTGCCATTCCAAATCCAGATAATTCTGGTTCCTCAGGTGGAGAGAGTTCGGATGATGAAACTGATCGTGGAAAGGCCAAAGTAACTATGACTTATGACAAGATCTGTAAAAGTTATCGCGAAAATCAAGATAAATTGGAAAAAGGTCATGAGTTCAAATGGGTGAATGGCGAAAAAAAGTATACATGCGATCTTATGGATAAAGTTTTATTGAAGGATACTCAGAAGAAACGTATTAGAGAAAGCAAGCCAGTTGAACTTTTTGAACAATTTTTCTCTGTAGATATGACAGATTATATGATCGATGCCAGCAAAGAAAATTGAACTTGAATATGGATGATCTAAATACGTTCATCGGTATTATTTTAGTGAGTTCTTTCAACAAGCGGAAGTCTCAAAGAGATTATTGGGCTGCTGATCCTTTTTTATCGTGTGAAGTAATTTCTTCCGCAATGTCACGTAATACGTTTGAAAATATAAAATCTAAACTCAAATTTTCGAAAACGAAAGATGAAAATACCGATGATAAAGGTTGGCGCGTCCGTGTTTTGCTAAATAAATTTCGAAAAAATATTCTCCAGTATGGTATCTGGAGAACTGCCTTGTCTGTAGACGAAATGATGGCTAAATCATATGCGAGAACATCATTGAAACTGTTTATTCGGGGAAAGCCTGTTCGATTTGGATTGAAATTTTGGGGTCTTTGTACAGCAGACGGATTTTTACTGAATGTTGATCTTTATTGCGGAAAGAACTCAATAATTGGTGAGAAATTAGCTAAATGTGCTTTGGGTTCTCGCGTTGTTCTAAATTTATTGAAACCATTTTTCGAAATGGTTCCTGCTGGACAAGTTCCCCAGTTCCATCTATATTTTGACAATTACTTCACGAATTTAGATCTTATGGTGCACTTGAATAAACTACAAATAAAATGTA